ACTCAAGCTCATGATTACATATTGGCATTTTTTCTTTCTTGAATCTTGCATTGGGATAATGCTCAGAAAGATCTTCTTTACCCTTTCAGAAAACCATGCATTTCTGTTTTTCTCTAGTGCTTTACATCTTCATATTTAAATCTTTACGCTATCTAAAATTACTTTAGGGGCACAGTTAGGCAGAACTTTCATTTTAATTTATAATAAATGGTTGGGTAGTGTTTCTAAAACAGTATGTAAAACTATTCATTTCCCCCATTTTAGTTGTTTATTATGATGCTAAATTCTAATATCTAATATGATACTAAATTTAATATCTATTTATGGACTTTGTTCATTTTATTGAGTGAGTCCAATTTGAGACAAATAATTTTGTACCCTTTTACTAGCTCATTATCTTCACGCTACTGTTGGGTTGTTGTGATTTCAGATCTAGATAATCATTGCATTTTCTTACGTTATAAAGAGAAATGGCACTATTTTGCAAAAATATACAATGAGTATTTAGAGTCATATTTGTTTTAATGGTTTTAACACTTACCACTCATCCTTTTATGCCATGATTCCTAATTCTCGTGCTCTTAGGCTTCTGGTTGGTGCAGATCCTGGGTCTCTGAGATAGCGGGAGATGGGCAGAGAGGAATAACTATTCTCCCCTTCCTTTGGCGCTCTCTCACTCAGCCAGTGTTTCCAGAACTGGTTTTCCTCTGTAAAGCATCACCTGCCCTGTAATTAGCAACTGTTTTTCCAAACTTTTGATTGAAACACAAGGTTGTCTTTAGTCATGGTGTCTGTGTTGAGAATTTTCTTCTTCCTCTGAGTTTTCATGGATGAGAAACTGCACTGAGGGCTGCTACCCAGATGTCATCTTAAGTATTTATTTTAACTTTTCTTCATCAACATAGAGAGATTTAATTTATTTATCAATATATGCATAAAATCTCTCCTGATTTTGTCAAAATACGGTTTCTTAAATGAGGAGAATATCTTCATTTAGGAATAAATGAAGAAAAATGTTAAATTTAGCATCTTTAGACTTTTAGGAGTAAGTCAGGAAGAGGTGGATGCCCACAGGATGGGAAGGTGATCGTCTCACCCGGATGACCTGCTCCTGAAGAATCTCAGGGCTAAGCAACAGTATTTTCTGGCACTGCTTACAAACAGTTGTGGCCAATGCAAGCATGACTTTCCTGTGAGGTTGTCTTCTCTGCAGTCCCACGTCCTGTCAGACAGCATGCCAGAGTAGTGAAGGAGAACAGAAATCAGTCCTAAATGCTGCAGTTATTTCTGGAATGTCTTCCTTTTGTAGGAAACCCAGTGGCTAGTGTTTGGTGGTGTTCTGAACAAATTGTTCCTCTTCCTAAGTGATGGTATGAAGGCTTACTGGCCTGGAAGATGATCACCCAAGGGTATTTGTTCATTCGTTTGTTTGTTTCACCTCTGCCTGCCCCAATTCTCTGGTAGGCGATTAGGCAGCACCGATCACTAGAAAATCACCTCTTCCTCTGTTGAGCATGGTGACCAGTCATTAGCCATATTTTCAAGGGAGCTCATCTGGTAGACATTCAAGAAGGCTTCCCTCATGGGAAGCAGGCATATGCAAACCTGCCCTGTGTCTGCAGGTGATACTTGAAAACACAGCAAAGTATATGCTCATGCTTATCCCATGCCTGACATTCTGTTTCTAGATCACTGGCATACCTGCTGACAAAAATTGGTGTCAGTGTATTAGGAGGGGTACAGAAATGGCTTCAAGGGTCTCCTGACCCCTTCAACCAGCAGAGACAAATTTATGTTCTTATTCTAAACTAAATTTGTCATTAGCATAAAATATATTCATATTTGGTTGTTTGAGGAAATTGAAGCATAGAAAATTTAATTATATCTAATACCAAACTTTACCTGCTTATATTTTTCCCAGTCCACAAATGTTGAGCACCAATTGTGTGATAAGCACTGAAATACAGCAATGAGAACCCTGACCTTTCAATGCAGTGGAGCAGACAGACAGGTGGAAATTATTTTAGAATACTGTGTGGTAAGTGCTAGGATCAGGGTAAATAGAGGGTAGCCCCGGAGCACAAGAGAGGAGTGTCTTAATGTATTAGGGATCAGGAAACTTCCTGAAGATAAGCCTTGAAGGATACATTGGAGATATCTATCCAGGCAGACAGCAAGTAGAGAAGGACATTTTCAGGCAGAAATTACAGCCTAGAGATGCTGTTGGAGAGTTGCAGATAATTGAGTCTGATTGCAGCCTTGTGGTTACAGAAGCACATAGAAGCCCCAGGAGGTGGGTCATAGAAGTCTAACCCCATGGAGCCCCATGACAATGAGCTTTGTGTGCGGAACGAATTTAGTCTTCGTAGCCTTAATCAGAGCTGCAAATACATCCTTAATGAGAATAAGAATGATGTGCTATGCTTACTTTATTTTCTTTGTGTCCTTTTGGTCAAAGGTGCTTAAATTAATGTTAATGAGTCAAGATGACATAAAGAAATGTGGCATTCAGCCAAGTATGTGTAACAAGCATAAAATTTGTGAAAAACACTGTTCTATGTGCTAAGGGGGCTTAGAACAACAATAATAATACTAGTTAAATTTTATCATATTTCCTGTTATCCAAAACAGCTTGCAGTCTACATGGGGATCTGATTTTTAAAGTGATTTATTATTTAAGTAATTGTGTGTGTGTGTGTGTGTGTGTGTATAAACTTATATATTCACATACACTGATAAATCAGGGGTTCTTACATGTTAAAGTACATTAGAATTACATGATGGGTTTGTTAAAACAATTTGAGGGGCCCACCTTCAATATGCCTGATTCAGTATATTTGGGATTGAAGCCCAAGAATTTGTGTTTCTAATAAATTCCTGGGTGATGCTGACACTGCTGGTCCAGAGCCATTGATATGAATGCAAGCAAATTAAAGAAGTTCATGCTGCTGGGTGTGGTGGCTCATGCCTATAATCCCAGCACTTTGGGAGGCTGAGGCGGGTGGACCACCTGAGGTCAGGAGTTTGAGACCAGCCTGGCCAACATGGTGAAACCTCTTCGCTACTAAAAAAAATATGAAAATTAGCTGGCTGTGGTAGCAGACACCTGTAATCTCAGCTACTTGGGAGGCTGAGGCAGGAGAATCACTTGAACCTAGAAGGCAGAGGTTGCAGTGAGCCGAAATCATGCCATTGCACTCCAGCCTGGGTGACAGAGCAACATTCTGTCTCAAAAAAAAAAAAAAGAAAAAGAAAAAAAGAAGTTCAGGCATGTGGGAGCCAAAGCATGAAGACCCAGGCAGAGCAGGATAGAGTTAATCATGAGTGAATGTCCTTCTTGCTTTTATGGCAGGGTAGAGCAGCTGAGTTGTCAAACATAAGTAAAAAAGAGCATGTCGACTTGAAGGGGCAACATGTACAAAAAGCAAGGCAGCACGTACAAAAGCGAAGTTGCTTAAGTGGGCAATAAGCTAGTTATCTTAGCTTGTATAGAGAATTTCTGGCTATGAAATAACAAACAAAAACTAGAGAATATTGGATTGGGAAGGAAGGTGAATGAAGTTTCTACCAGGATCTTTAACAAAGCCGGCATGTTTGTATCTTGAACAATGGGCACAGGGAGTTCACTGTAGGATGCTCAGCAACAATAAAATCGAGCTCAGCAAGGCATTCTCTAAGTCCTGTGCTGGGTAAACAAGGCTGGAATGAGCCCAAGCAGTAAGACAAACAGAAACCTATTGTATTTTCCTAGGTGTCAGGTAGTGAAGGCTTAAGCCTAGCTTGTGTATGGAAATACTAGTAGAAAAAAATAAAATGAAAAAAAACACAGATAAAACTGTAGGAAACTTTCAATTCGATAAGGCAGACTAGGCAGATCTATTTCCCTTTCATTGCTTTTTTTTCTAAATATGGTGCTCCATATATTTTCAGTGCTTAATACATTGTTCACAGAACAAATAAGTACATTGCTCCAAAAGCATTTTTCTGCCTCAATTTTCTTATCCAAAAAATGGGGTTTATATAGCATGCCTGCCTCTACAGATAAACAAATAATTGGGATAAAATACTTTGATTGTCCAAAAGTATGAATATGATTATTATTGCTAATGACAGAATGAGAAATCAAGTTCTCATATGGGTTTAAATTAGTTCAGAGAAAGGATATTTGTGCACATTTCCTCGTAGAATAGGGTTAATGGGGTGCCGCAGGAACTGGTGCCTAGCATGTGAAATAATTACCATAGTTGGAGAAAAGTACCTAGCTCATTGAAGTAACTGATGACACAAAATTATGTGGGCTAGTAAAAACCATAGAGAATTCTATGAAATATTCCAAAAGGAGCTAATCAAATAGTATGACCAGAAAATAGGACAGCAGTTCCATTTTAATGAAGATAAATGACTTTCTTAGAAAAAGCAATAGTTTTCATTTTCTCAGCATGTTGATTAACCAAGAGATATTAGAGGGAAAAGCATGCATCATGGTGCTTAACACATTTATTGGAATGCAGAAGTGTCTCATTCATTCATTCATTCATTCATTTGCTGGACTCTATTTAGCACACACTTACCATCTACATGTCAGACAATTGTGCTACACAGCAGAGAGAGAAGGGAACAAAAATAAATGAAGACACAGTCCCTGCCTTTAAACTAGCTGACAATCCAGAAAGAGGGACATAAAGATAAACAGATATGGCTGTGAAACTGCCAAATAAATAACTGTATTGGTTTTCCCTTGCTGTGTAGCAAATTACACAAACTCAATAGCTTAAAACAACCCATATTCTCTGTTTCTGTGGGTCAGGAATCTGAGCCTGACTTAGAAGAGTTCTCTGCTCAGGGTCTCAGAAAGCTGCGGTCAAGGTGTTAGCTGGCTGCATGTTCCTTTGGAGGCTTGACTGGGGAATATTTTTTTTTTTGAGTTGGGGGTGTTGCTGTGTTTCTTAGGCTAGTGTGCAGTGGTGCATTCATGGCTCACCACAACCTTGAAATCCTCAGCTCAAGCAATTCTCCCACGTCAGCCTTCCAGTTTGCTGGGATTACAGGAATGAGCCACCGTGGCCAGCTCAAGAATCCATTTTTTATGCTCACTTAACTTGTTGGCAGAAGTGATTTCCTTGTGCTGTATAACTGAGGATCCCACATGCTTGCTGTCATGTGGAGGTCACCCTCAGTTCCTAGAGGCTACCTGCAATTCCCTGCCACATGGGCTTGCTCAGCATAACCCCTTACTTCCTCAAGTTAGCAAGAAGAATCTCTTACTCCAGCCTAAGATGGAGACCTAAATCAAATAACCTAAACATGGGATTGATAGCCCATCGTCTTTGCCATATTCTATTAATTATAAATAAGTCACGGGTCCCACCTGCACTCAAGATAAAGAGGTCATAAACAATAAGAGGTTTATGATAAAGAGGTTACACAGGTCATAACAATAATATGGCAGTGGGGTCACACCTTACGGTATGTCTGCCACAGTCATATACTACAGGCTGCCTCATGAAGAACACATCTGAGACAAAATCAGGAAATTATCAGACATGTTATTGATCCATTTCTCTTGGTACTTTTGGCTACATTCTTGAACCATTTAAGGTTGCCGGATGACTTTATAATTGGACCTGCCAGGACTACCTTTATTAAATTGCCCTTTATTGTTGTGCTATTCACTTTTATCAAAGTTCACATGTAATAGCAATAACAAATTACTATTGTAATTATTGGTCAAAAAAGTAAGACAAAAAAGGACAAAATTTGCATATATCTTAAATATTTCAGTTTAACTTATAATTCATAAATATGTCTGTCAACTTTATAAGACCAAGGCCATTTCCAGTGTTCAATTTAGGTTTCTTTTTAGCTGATCAACCTCTTAAAGACACGTGTGAAGTACTCCTGGAGTGTCACCCCACCCACCCCTGGCACCCCCAAATCTTCTAAGATTCCCAGAATTTTTTTTTCTGCAGCTTTCCAGTATCATATGTTTTCAAAGCCTTCCACCTCTTCATAGAAATATTTCTCTTTGCACACTTGTATTTCAGCTTATGGCATATTTTAGTAGAATTGCATAATTGCAATAGCAAGTATGACGAGTATAAGTAGTTTTGGTGCAAGCACAGCCAATTCATGGACGCACATAAACCTTCAAATGGTTACAAAAGTTATTTCTTTAAGGGACAACATGGGTGCACCTGACTAAGCCAACACTCTTGCCCGTGTGTCTACTATTGTCATATGACTTTTTGCTTCTGTATTTGTTGTAAAACTTTTTTGCTGTTCATGGTGGTGATTCTTTATATATTTTGGTTCATAACATAAAGCTCTTTATCAAAACTTACATTTAAAATAAAGTGTCAGATAAAGCTTTACCCTCTCCCAAAGAATACCAACACCTTTGTCATAAAGAATATATCATAACTTCTGAGAATCTCTCCTTCACCCTGGCTGGACTAGTGTGTAGGCAAGACATAAGATACAAATATTCTGGACCTGTCTGTATTTTAGAAATTGAGAATTTAGGTGTCTGATTTCTGATACTGATATCTATACATGGCCAGCTTGTTATTTGATTTAAAATGATACAACTTTAAGAACAAATTTGGTAATTAAGTATTTGAGAAGCAGCAACTATAATTTAAAGCACACTTACACTCCCATTTCTTAATCGAAAGATTTCAGCTCTTTATACAGTTGTTTAGAACAACGTCTGAACAATCATACTGCAGATTATTAGGCATCCAATTTTAGCAGCTTCCATCATTATTTTATAATTGATAATTTTCCATTTTTAAACCCCAAATCAGACCTCCTTATTAATATTTGGTAAACATGCAAGGAGAAAACTATTTACTTGGCACTTAAATAAATTTTCCAGCAAGAAAGGCTACCTAATACCTATGCAAATATGACTAAATGCCAATACAAAGATTTGTGATAATTGGCTTGTAACCTTCACATTTTCTTGGTGAAGTTGAGTAGAGTATATTAATCCTACATAGACCTGAGTTAACTGGTCTACCTGTGACACGGGAGCACAATATGTTGCAGGATTATTTTAAAGATGAAAGATAATTTATTTAGAGTGCCTAGGATGGTATAGGATTTATTAAATATGCAGCACATGTTTATTGCATGAATGAATAAGGGAACTCGTGGTAATTATTTTGTGGTGTCAATTTTCAGTCAGGATGAAAACAACAATGAGAATGTCACTAAGGACTAATGGGTAACAACAGTTGTTGCACATACTCTTGTGAACTATAATTGATTTTATTAGAGCAAGGTGGCTCTAATACCCATTGTATGTAAAAGAAATTCAAATGAAGCCTGTATGTCATGTGAAGTTGATTCTAGGCCACATATTTTTAACCATCAATGAGCAAAGGAGATAATGTTCATCTCCCAAGGCTATGATATAAATGAGGTTAAATTCATGGTTAGAACCTCCCAACATCCACATATCAACTCCTTTCCTTGGAAAACTTCTACAATTGATAAAATGGAGGCCACCAGCTAGTTGGTTGTATATGATTTTAGCAGTCATAAGTATCGTTAGACCCAGAATTTGCAATCAGAAACTTCCTGTATTCATGGTCATAGAGCATTTAAAAGAAGGATTTTGTAGGTGCAATGCTAAAGTTCACTATGCCCATTTAAACGAATTTTAGCTTTTCTTTTAGACTGAGGGGGTACATGTGCAGATTTGTTACATGGGCCTATTATGTGATGCTGAGGATTGGGGTTTGATTGATCCTGTTACCCAGGTACTAAGTGTAGTACCCAATAGGTAGTTTTTCAACCATTTTTCTTCTCTCTCTTTCTCCTTTACTAGTCCCTAGTAGTCTATTGTTCCCCTGTATATTTCCATGTGTACTCAGTGTTTAGTTCCCACTTGCAAGTGGGAATATACAGAATTTGGTTTTCCGTTCTTGCATTAATTCATTTAGGATAATGACCTCTAACTGCCTCCATGTTGCTGCAAAGGACATGATTCTGTTTTTTGTTATGGGCTGCATAGTATTCCACGGAGCATATGTACCACATTTCCTTTGTTCAGTTCACCATTGATGGGCACCTAGGTTGATTCCATGTCTTTGCTATCTTGAATAGTGCTGTGATGAACATAGGCATGCACTTATCTTTTTGGCAGAATTAATGTTTTATTTTCTTCTGGGTATATTCCAGTAATGGGATTGCTGGGTTGAATGGTAGTTCTGTTCTCAGTTCTTTGAGAAATTTTGAAACTACTTTTCACAGTGGCTGAATTAGTTTACATTCCCACCAACAGTTTATAAGCTGTTCCCTTTTCTCCACAGGCTCACCAGCATCTGCTCTTTTATTACTTTTTAATAGCTATTCTCAATGTTGTGAGATGGTATCTTATTGTAGTTTTCCTCTGATGATTAGTGATGTTGAGCTTTTTTTTCATGTCCAACTTTTATGTTAAGTGCAGAGGTACATGTGCAGGATGTGCAGGCTTGTTAAATAAGTAAATGTGTGCAATGCTGGTTTGCTGCACAGACATCCCATCACCTAGGTATTTAACCAAGCATCCATTAGCTATTCTTCCTGATGCTCTCCCTCTTTCCACCCCCACCCTCTGACAGACCTCAGTGTGTGTTGTTGGCCCCACCCCCATGTGTCCATTTGTTTTCATCATTCAGCTCCTACTAATAAGTGAGCAAATACTGTGTTCGGTTTTCTGTTCTTGCCTTAGTTTTCTGAGGATAATGGCTTTTAGTTCCACCCATGTCCCTGCAAAGTACATGATCTTGTTCCTTTTTATAGCTGCATAGTATTCCATGGTGTATATATACCACATTTTCTTTATCTAGTCTATCACTGATGAGAATTTAGGTTGATTCCATGGTCTTTGCTGTTTTGAATAATGCTGCAATAAATATATGTGCGCATGTATCTTTATAACAATGATTTCTATTCCTTTGGGTATATACTCAGTAATGGGATTGCTGGGTCAGATGGTATTTCTAGCTCTAGGTCTCAATCGTGACACCATCTTCCACAAATAGTTGAACTAATTTACATTCCCACCAACAGTGTAAAAGCATTCCCGTTTCTCCACAGCTTCACTAGAATCTGTTGTTTATTGACTTTTTAATAATCACTATTTTGACTGGGCAGGAAGTGGTATCTGATTGTGGTTTTGATTTGCATTTCTCTAATGATCAGTGATATTGAGCTTTTTTTCTTATGTTTGTTGGCCACATGTATGTCCTGTTTTTGAGAAGTGTCTGTTCATGTCCTTTGCCCACTTTTTAATGCAGTTGTTTTTTGTTTCTTGTAAATTTGTTTAAATTCCTTGTAGATGCTGGATATTAGGACTTTGTCAGATGGATAGATTACAAAATTTTTCTCCCATACTGTAGGTTGGCTGTTCACTCTGATGATAGTTTCTTTTGCTGTGCAGAAGCTCTTTAATTTAATTAGATCCCATTTGTCAATTTTAGCTTTTCTTGCTACTGCTTTTGGCATCTTCATCATGAAATCTTTGCTTGTGCCTATGTCCTGAATGGTATTGCCTAGATTTTCTTCTAGGGTTTTTATAGTTTTGGGTTTTACATTTAAGCCTTTAACCCCTTTTGAATTTATTTTTGTATATAGTGTAAGGAAGAGATCCAGTTTCAATTTTCGGGCTAGCTAGTCCTCCCAGCACCATTTATTAAAGAGGGACTCCTTTCCCTATTGCTTGTTTTTGTCAGGTTTTTCAAAGATCAGGTGGTTGTAGGTGTGGGGTCTTATTTCTGAGTTCTTTATTCTGTTCCACTCGTGTGTGTGTCTGTTCTTGTACTAGTACCATGCTGTTTTGGTTACTGTAGCCTTGTAGTATATTTTCAAGTTGGGTAACGTGATGCCTTCAGCTTTGTTCTTTTTGCCTTGGAAAGCAATAGCCAAGGATTGTCTTGGCCACTTGGGCTTTGTTTTTGGTCCATATAAATTGTAAAATAGCTTTTCCTAATTCCATGAAGAATGTCAATAGTAGTTTAAGGAGAAAAGGATTGAATCTATAAATTGCTTTCGGCAGTGTGGCCATTTTCACTATATTGATTCTTCCTCTTCATGAGCATGGAATGTTTTTCCATTTGTTTGGATCCTCTCTGATTTCTTTGAGCAGTGGTTTGTAGTTCTCCTTGAAGAGGACCTTCACTTCCCTTGTTAACTGTGTTCCTAGGTATTTTATTCTTTTTGTAGCAATTAAGAGTGGGGGTTCATTCATGATTTGGTTGAGCATTTCTTTTCATATGTCTTCTTTTAAGAAGTGTGTGTTCATGTACTTTACCTACCTTTTAATGAAGTTATTTGTCTTTTGCTTACGTTTTTTATAGATTCTGGACATTAGACCTTTGTCAGATGCATAGCTTGCAAATATTTTCTCTCATTCTGTAGGTTTCTGTTCACACTGTTGATGATTTCTTTTGCTGTGCAGAGCTCTTTAGTTTAGTTAGGTCCCACTTGTCGATTTTTGTTTCGGTTGGAATTGCTTTTGAGGACTTAGTCATAAATTCTTTGCCAATGCTGGCGTCCAGAAGAATATTTTCTAGGTTTTTTTTTTTTTTAGAGTTTTTATAGTTTACATCTTATATTTGAATCTTTAATTCATCTTAAGTTAATGTTTATATATAGTGTTAGGTAGGGGTCCAATTTCATTTATGTGCATATGGCTGGCCAACTATTCCAACACCATTTATTGAACATGGAGTCCTTTCCCCATTGCT